CGCGAGCGGAGGCGCGAGGAGGGCAGGGGGTGGGGGGAGGGGGGCGCCCGCGATGACCAGATAGGCACGAGGACGGGGGCGCGGCGAGCCTGGAGGGCGCAGAAGCAGCCGCCCAGCACGCCATGGATGCACCGCCGCCGCACTGGACCAGGGAAGCCGCCGCGGGGGGTGGACGGGCACGAAGCGAGGGCCTGGGGGTGGGGGTCGCGATTGACCAGATCCGCCCTGCCGCCACCTTCCTGGGGTCCGGCGCGGCTTCGCCGGCCGACCCTCCGGCGACGGTGATGCGGGGGAGGGCGGCGGAGGAGCTTGGTTCTGGCGGCGGCTAGGGTTCCCCCCGTGCCGCCAGAGCAAGGCGACGCCGGGGGGGAGGCGCTCATGTCTTTGCCAAAGAATCGCCGAACTCATCAATTTCTCTCTTGACCACAATATTTGATTTCTTGATGGCCACCACATGCAGATCTGACAAAATGCCTTTGTAGACAGTGCCATGCCCACCACCACCAAGCCTACGAGCTTGATAAAAAATGTTGGTGGCTTTCTCTAGCTCCTCTAAATAAATGAGCACCCTCTCTGCAATGTCTGCCCTATGAGATACCAATTGCGTCAGCAGTTGTGCACGGTTTTGACTAAAGAACTTGTGTCTTAACGCCATCGTCTTGTATTGCTTAAGATCGCGAGTTATTAGCAGAGCACCAAGAATCAAAAGCAGGATCCATGGGCCACTAGCAACCGAGAAACCAATGATTAAGCCCAAGTTACCTGAAAATTAGGAAATGGAAATGTTAACGCCCACACGTGTGGGTGTTCACCACCCCGACCACACGCAAGCATCACCGTTGGCAGCTCTGTGCACGAATCTTGGAACAAACCGGGCGTTTTTTTGCGCCACGTAGGACGAGGCACGTGTGCGGTGTGCGAGTAGGTTCGCCCACACGTTGGTTGCCACCTCGCGGTCAGCGGTTGCCATCGGAGTCATGCGGTGGAACTGCAATGTGCCCGCACGCCACTCTTCGACCATGGTTGACGTCAAACACGTCGCATGCCTCTGCCCCCTCTCCATCACGCTTCCATTTACTCACCCGCACCGCAGTTACTGGCAGAACCCACTCGCATTTCAAACCATCGAAGGAGAAGGCGAGGGGAGAAGGCGACGGCGGAGGCGGAAGAATCGACGATGTCCGGGACCGTCGGTGGTGCTCGCCGGAACGGAGCGGCTTCGCCGGAGCGCCTGCGAGTTGAAGGTACTACTCGTTAAAACCCTCACAATCCCTTCATGCATTTCCTCCCCTTCCCTCCCTGTTTGATTCCTCGATCGAGATTCGTAGAGATTCAGGCGATTCGTCGATGCGTCGGCGTTCCCGCCGGTGCCGAAGTCGTCTGCTAGCCGTTTTTGGTTACACTGGTCAGTTTCGTCGCGGCCGCGGCCGCGGCATCGTCGGCGTGGTTCTGCCTGTTCGGAGGCACGCACTAGTCTTGCCTATGGATTGAGCAGGTGTCTCCCGGGTTGTTTTTGATGCCGTTGGTTCGATTTTGTGTTTGCAGTCAGTTCGTGGGAGAATTTTGAGGGTGAATTTGAAGTCGACGTAGTTGCCATTGAACCCTAGATCTAGTTAGTTGGGTTTTGAAAATGCAGTATGAGGCGAACTTGATAGTTACATTAACTATCATGTTTGTGCGACCACTAACTCCCTGAACAAATTTAACAGTTGCCACAAACGTGTTTCCCCTTGCGGCAACAAATTACTGAAATGACTGTGTTAGTTGCCACATATAAGCCTTCACACATGGCAACTATTTTCATTCAATGACTGTGATAGTTGCCACACACACGCTCTTCCATGTCGCAACTAAATTTGCTGAAGTACTGTGATAGTTGCCACACACACGCTCTTTTTCCGTGTGGCAACTAAAATTGCTGAATTACTGTGATACGTGCCACAATCATGCTATTTTCATTGCGGCCAGTGTTTTCCCGAATGATATGTGATAGTAACCACACTGTGATAGTTGCCACAATCGGTAGTCAGTGTACATTCAGGAGCCAACTGCACTGGATGGCAACTACTGTGCACATAAAGTGTGCTTGTTGCCATCTGGATAGTATATTCATGTGGCAAATAGATTGTGAACACACTGTCTGTTGCCATTCTGCATATAAGACAGTGTGGCAAATTGGCTGCATAATGTGGCAACCGAATTTGCATATCAAATATATCAGATGCCATAGATATGCTTTGCATGTGGCAAGTTTTTGCTGACCTCCTTGCATTTACATTTCCACCATGACAATTTGGTCTGTTCCCATCTCAGCAGAATGGCTCGTGGCGATCGTCAAAACGACGATGATGATTTCATGGATCCACCACAGCGTAATCGGGCAACTGGGCGGAGAAAAGAGGGTGATGAGGTAAATGTGCACACACACCCCCTTCCTCCTGCTGTATGTTAATGGTTGACACCTTGAGCTTGCAGTCGTCTGACACGAACTAAAATTTCTTGACATTGCAAAATGCAGCAACAACTGATCTCTTTTTTTGCAAAAACATGGCAACAACTGATCACTTTATGTCTGTTTTTTGCAGAAGAAGAAACGTATTCGCAACAGAGCCTCCCAAGAATGACTGACTGCGTTGACTGACAAATTCAGCGACGATCAGAAGGGGGCTGCTGCTGAGATGGGTATGCAGTCTATGATGGCTATCCGGTGCACGAACCTTGTCAACCCTGTATGCGATTGGCTTGGTGAGATCTACGACCCCGCCTCCAGGGAATTCGTGATTCCGGGACGTGGAAGACTACCGCTGAATGAGGAATCCGTGTTCTGCACTTTGGGTGTGCCTCGTGGACATATCAAAGTCCCGTACGAGGTCAACAATGAGATCTAGGAAGCGATGTTGCCCCGTTTGTTTCCTTGGTTGGAATCCATGCCGAACACGTCTGCAGTGGCAGATTCGCTGGAGGCCATGACGACGCATGGAGATGTTTTCAAGATGAAGCTACTCATGTTCCTCATCTCAGCCGTTTTCGCGCCGACCACTTCTCTTTGCCCAACCAACAAATGCTTCCCCATCCTGGTGAATGATCTATCTTTACTACATTATTTTTCCTTCAATTTTTTTGCTCCGATGTCATGTGCAAGCTAGTCACTACCAGTGTTTTTTGATGTTTTTTCCATTGGATTTCTGACGCGGCAACTGGTTGTCCTGAATTTTGTGCGGTGCAGGCGAAACTGAAAGATGTGAAGAACATGAATTGGTGTAAGTTCATTGCCGACTTCCTGCATGATGCATTCGCAAGCAAGGTGTACCAGAAGGGTTGTCGACTGCATTTAATGGTATTTTTTTACCGGTCCTTTCTGTGAACACTCTTTTTAACACCTTTTTATTCATGCATGGCAACATGATCATAACAAGATGGCAACTGCCATGTTGATTATGTGGCAACTGCCATCATGACAATATGGCAACTGCCATCATACTATGATGGCAACTGCCATCATACTATGATGGCAACTGCCATCATGACAATATGGCAACTGCCATCATACTATGATGGCAACTGCCATCACACTATGATGGCAACTAGCACATACAGATGGCAACTTCTTCTTCTTTCTCTTTTTCATGCACTTCAACTTGATGATCGTAGGAACATATATTATCCTGTTTTTTTACAAAATACCATGATCGCAACTGATTTTTCTTTCTTTTTAAAATTGTTGTACATCAGCTCATGTACGTCGACTGCCTTGATCTGTCCATCGTGGATTTCACTGGGACAGGAGGCCCGCCGCC